GGTTACAAGATACTAGTATTTTCAGCTGCAAAGGGGTCTCATTTCTGGGTTATGGGCTGTTTTTAAGGAAATCTTTGTTATCCTTGCTCCATTGCAGCTAATGGTTGAATTAAATAAAATTGCACGTTCTTAAATGAATACTTCAGACCCTTCTTCCAACTTAATGCAAAATGTACAATATTTTACAGGTGTTGGTATACATTAGAAGCCCTTCCAAGTTAGGATTATCTTTCCAATCCCTCAGGAGACAAATGCTGTAAAACAGAATTTCAGGTATCGGTTCAAGGAACCCAGTTATCCAAGCCTGAAACGTATTTCTGGTGGCAATAATTACACACAAACACACAAAACTGCCAAGTAAACAGAATCGTAACCCATTCGGCCTACATGCCAGTTCCAACAAACAAACGATCAGAAGTTGTTGTAGTCTTTAACCAATCAAACATCAGTCCACACTCTGTAGCCATGAGTATCACATACTATCTTTCCTCATATCAATATTAAAATCTGGAAATATTCTGTGTTCTCTCAGTAGCCACTGGTGCCCCTTTAAGTCATGAATTCATCCAAGCCTTTATGGAATTCATATACAGGAAATAATTATAATAGATTCCTTGACCCTTGGGGTGATGAACGTTATAGTTGTATTTCCCACTGTGCAACACACTCCTACGGATGGCCGAAAAGTGTGTCACATTCGAGAGACTTCTGGTGTGGTAATAATGATTCATTCCTCTATGCCTCCATTACTCATTGTGATATATAATTGGAATAGGTCTTGTTTTGTTCTGCTCACACTAAATCAAGGAGATCCCTTCTTTGAACAACAGAACTAACTTTTTTATCTGGCAGATTCAGGGGCCAATGTCAAGGGTGAAAACTATCTGACCCTGCAATGACTTGTGCAATATCATTTCTCCCTCTTCAGAATCTAAGGGAAATTAGCTTTGATGCACTGGAGACAACAGCCTGATGAAAGAACCAGGAAAGACCTAGCTTGGCAACCTGAAAATACTCTCGTCCTGTACCTGTGTCCCAAACCTAATCTAAAGACCAAGCTAAATCATCCTGCCAAGAACCAGGATCCACCAATTTGGGGGGACAAATATGACAAACAGTACGCAGCACAAACGCATACAATACCATCCTGTGTCACAATGTGGTTTCTCTTCCCATTTGCTCTTTTTTTGCACAGACACCTTGTTCTCTCTTAGACAGAGATGAAAGTTGGAAGAATCTGGAAACACGCTTCGTCGTATGGAGATGGATGAAGGCTAAGGGATATTCCTCAGTCTTAGATCTCTGGCATCAGAATCGGGGGAAGTCACAACTGTGGTTCCTAGAAGAAACAGGAGCTGAAACAGCCCCCATCCGTCTCCCTAGTTTCACAGCTCAAGAACAGAACCGATTCCTGTCAACACCACCCAAGAAATAAACAAGTGTGGGAAAAGTTTACTTTTATCTGACTTCAGCAAGATCAAAACACCTTCCTAATTACGCATTTCTTTTTCTATAAAATGATGCTTTAGGAACCGTTTCCGCATACCAAGTCTTTAAATCCTCCAAAGAATCCTGAGTGGAAGAAAGCAGACATTGCTACTTTGCGAATGAAGAAATGCAAGCTCAGTGCATTGAGGGGACTCGTCTCAAGTCATGCTGGTAGGAAGTGATGAATCCTGATGAATCCAAAAGTAGAAAGCCTGGTCTTCTAATTCATAATCCAATGCTGCTTTTCTTTTTTTTCTTTCTTTTTTCCTTTTTTTTTCTTATTAGGCGTTCATAGTAACTGAGCAGTCTCAACGCACACACACAGAATGAATTTGAAAGTCAACAACATTCACGTTCAGTCCTGCTGCACTGGGTACAGTGTTCTGGAAAGACTTCAAGAAGAGCCTGGTCCCATGCCAGCAGGAGCAGTGTGATGCATTCTGCTTCTCCTTTTCAGGCAGGTGCAAATTGAAGGAAGCCTTAGACACCATCTCTGTCCGTTCCACTCAAACCAAATCCTCTCACGGAAAGCACCAATTTGGTGTAGCTACAGATTATTTTAATCTATTTTTGCAAGTCATATAAACCAAACCTGAACAAATATGTTCCCCTGCATGCTCTTCCTGAATTTCAGTCAAAGTTTTTCAGTAATTAAACATTTTTCCTAGAGTGTTGTGAATCAAATAGTGTTCTATGCCAACGCAAGAAAAGCATTAACGAAAACAAAGAATAAAATGAAGCCAAGTTCAAGTAGTAAAAATGTTCTTATTTCATCAAAATGAGATGCAAAAGAAAAATATGCAAAATGAGGATTAAAGGGAGTCCGATGTTGTCAATGTGACGTCTCCCACTAAAATCTTTTCGGAAAATAAATCTCTCATCTTGAGAACTTGGAAGGAAGGAAGGGAGGGGAGGAAGGAAATGAAAGAAGAAGAAGAAGAAGAAGAAGAAGAAGAAGAAGAAGAAGAAGGGGGAGGGGGAGGAGGAGGGGGAGGAGGGGGAGGGGGAGGGGGAGGAGGAGGGGGAGAAGAGTGAGGGAGGAAGGGGGAAAGGAAGGAAGGAATGAAGGAAAAGAAAGAAAGAAAAAGAGAAAGAAAAAGAACAAGAAAAGGAAAAAATCACAGTCCCCTGGGTTAAAGGTGTGTTTTAGTAAACTTAAGGACTTTAACAATACACTCTTAACAATATTATTAAGCTAGAGAACTTCACTATCTTTACAGTAAAAAATAAATAAATAAGCCAGAGAGGATTTTAGCACTCCATTTCATCCAAGAAGTTGTCAACTCCTCGACATTGCATCAAATTTCTTTAAAAATAAACTGTTTCCCCCCTAAGATATCTTAATCAAGTCAAATCAAAACCATGCACATCCTATAGAGTCGTCTTGCAGAAAACGTTAGCCACCGAGAACACCTGCCTGTGTCTGGAAGGAAGAGAGGGAGCCAGGACGGAAAGGCTGGGAAGGACATCACGCCCTCGGCGAAACTTACGACGTACAGCGAAGCGGCTATCCTCGCACAAAGCAGACGGTAGTGCACACAGCGGGGTCACAAAATGCCGAGACAGTAAAGAATCACCAGATCCATGCATTCCCACAGCTTTTCTAAACAATCTATCCTCCAGGGTCAACCTCTAAATTTTTCGCATCTTAATTCTGCCTTTATTGAATCCACTAAAGCTACTCCGGTTCCATGTAAGCCTATCCTACTTTTGCATGTTAACTTCACTCGCAAAACCCACAGGCACTTAGGCCGAAACTCACTAGTTGCCGAGTGGCACGTCCATGTCCTATAGAACAAATTCCTGCTGTAACAGACGACCAGAAACTCGGTGGCTTAAAACAACTCAGATTTCTTCCCTCACACTTCTGGAGGTCAGAAATCTGAAAAGGGTTTCTCTGCCGTGACCCCGAGACCTTCACAGGGCCGCGCTCCTTCTGAAGGTTCTAGAAGAGAATCTTTTTCCTTGCCTCTCCGGCTTCCACAGCTGTGCTCTCGCGTCTTCCAGGCCAGCAGAACAGCATCTTCAAATCTCTCTGCCTCACCTCTCCTTCTCCTCTCTGTCGGTAGCAACTTTCACAGCCTCCCTCTTATCATTTATAAGGCCTCTTGTGATTGGACCCAGAAGCCACGTGGGCAATCCAGGACAAACTCCCGTCTCAAGACTCTTCACTTCATCACATCCGCAGAGTACCATGCACGGGTTCCAGGGACTAGGACAGGAAGGCTCTGAGGGCCACCATTCTGCCCACACAGCAGTGGATGTTTACTGGGCGACACCTATCACTCCAAACTACTCCCGGATCACCTTCACAAACGGATGTGTGCTTTCCAAGAATCCTTCATAACTAACAACCGGCTTCTTGAAGTCTCTGGTGAGTTTAAACTCCACTCAAACTTAAACCTTTCCCCTGTGTATTATGAAACTCTTGGAGAAAAGTTACAGGATGGGATCCCGTGATCCCTTCATTCTTGCAACAGAGATGTTAAAAAGTTTAAAATCAGATTCCTCAAGATGTTTCTCTCTCCCAGTCTCCATTTCATATTTGGGTAACAGCAGCCAAAACCCTACAAGAAATTGGTCATATTATATTAAGTAATTTCTATACATCCACTTTAGAAAAATAAAAGTTTACTAATTTAACATTAGCCTGTGCTGTCGAGCAACTGATTAACCCACTGTCCAAAGACATTACAGGCACGGGATGTAAGAGTTAAACATAATCATCTGAACGTGATCATGGGGTATTTGGGGTATAAAATAAGCCACTGGACATTTGAGCTCAGACCCCTGGCTATCTTCCAGGTACTGCTGAGCTGATTAACATACTTCTACTTAATAGGTCAGCAAAAACAAATTTTCCCAGTTTTAAGTTATTTCAGCAAAGTTCACACCCTGGGAAGACACAGAAGGTCTGGAGCCGGTCCCCCCACAGCTCAGGCTGATGGCTGAGCCTGTCCCGCCCCCCAGCTCCTGAGGAGTGTCTGAAGGCCTGTGCCCGGCACGCAAACTCTGTCCTCCTTCTCCACCCACCACCCCCCAGGACGCCCTTCTAGTTGAATTTATTCTGTTATCACAAATGCCCCTGCCCCTCCGATTGCTCTGACTGTCCTCGGTGACACGCTGTCCTGTAGCTGTGGTCCTCAGTCGTTTCTGCAATAAGCACTTCAGCTTTTCAACTCTGTTGAAAAGAGGCCAGAGGCCAGAAGATACACATTCTTCTACTCACAGCACCCACCATTTCCTGCAGTTCTTGGAACAAAGGTGTCAGAGACAGAATCCAACTCAAGCTTCCGGCTCTTACCTGGACACCGAGTTATCAAATAATTGTCATTAGGTTAGGGGACAACTAACTGAAAGTATAAACAAAGTATATACAGGGGCGCCTGGGTGGTTCAGTCGGTTAAGTGTCCAACTTCGGCTCAGGTCATGATCTCGTGGTTCACGGGTCTGAGCTCCGCATCAGGCTCTCTGGTGTCAGCACGGAGCACGGAGCCTGCTTCAGATCCTCTGTCCCCCTCTCTTTCTGCCCCTCCCCCACTCTTGCTCTCTCAAAAATAAACATACATTTAAAAATAAGTAAATGAAGGGGCGCCTGGGTGGCGCAGTCGGTTAAGCGTCCGACTTCAGCCAGGTCACGATCTCGCGGTCCGTGAGTTCGAGCCCCGCGTCGGGCTCTGGGCTGATGGCTCGGAGCCTGGAGCCTGTTTCTGATTCTGTGTCTCCCTCTCTCTCTGCCCCTCCCCCGTTCATGCTCTGTCTCTCTCTGTCCCAAAAAAATAAATAAACGTTAAATAAATAAATAAATAAATAAATAAAAAATAAAAATAAGTAAATGAAGTATACATTACAGTGATCAGAATAGAATTCCTTCCCAGCTGGCTGTATACGTAGGGACCCAGCCAGAGGGATGACGGCCACAAGGTTGCTGGCTGCCCATCCTTCTCCCGCACACCCCACAAAACGGACTCTTTCCTTCCTGCCCCCAACTTCCAAAGGATGGGCACCTGAAACTTAATGTTATCAGGAGATGTGCATCACGCATCATACACGTGAGGATACAATTTCAAAACCCATGAGTCCATCATGCAACTGAGCAGAAACTTCTTTAAAAGTCGACATAGGGCAGCCTTCGTGAAAGTACGAGTGCATGCACGCTTTCCTTGAGGTCCTTAAAGTAAGTGTGAAAATTCGTGCCTGACACCGTTACAGCAACGGGAGGCCCAGCAGACAAGCTGGGAAGGCGCGCGACGTTCCCAATTACTCCTAGATCATCTAGGAACGACACACACAAAAGCGCTTTCAGCCGCCACCAAAATGGGCCAGACGGGTTTGATGACGGCCCTGGGCAGCCCAGGGGGCAGCACAGCTGACCAGAGAAGAACCCAGAAATAGTAGCCATCAGGAAGGCGCTGCGGCTTTTCAGCTCGGATTCCTGAGCAGCAACCGATATGACAGGCGCAGAAAAGAAAATATGTTAATGACTGTATGAAATCTGAAAATAAATGAATCACAGGAATGTCATTTCTTAGCCTGCGAAAAGAAAAGGCTGCTAAGAACCCAGCTGTGTCCCCTGGCACAGCGGCCCACAGTAAACCCCACTGTCCCCCCCAGTGCCATCAGGGTGCCCCGCAGAACCGGTGACAGGGGTTCCGTTCTCTCATTAACTCACGTGCTCCTTTCTTAGCTGCAGTTATTTGAGACTTGTCAAGTCGTTATAAAAACAATCTTTTTGTTCCCCTCAAACACAGGACTCATACATTCGGTTCAATTAACTGAACAAATCTACTAAACATCTACTCTGGGTAAAACACCATGCACAACTCTGCAGATGGACGGCTGGGCTTCAGCCCGGCCTTCAAGATGGTGCACACACATAAACACACACACACACACACACACACACACACACACACACACACCACCTCACGTACACTTACCAGACACACATACCACATATACATACATACATACGTAACCAAATGCTAATAGGAAAACGAATTCTGTGACATCTGTTGGTAAGTATCATGTTTTTTTTCTAAATAAACAACAGCGAGATTCAGTGGAAACTTTGCCCAGCCTGCTTAACTAAATATCTGCGCGGGAGAAAAAAGGAAATTTCTCCAAGGTGTTGAATGGCTCTGGAGTTTCGTGCAGCAGATTCCTGGCCACTCAAAGTGGGGTCCCCAGACCCCTGCATCGGCATCATCTGGGAGCTCTTAGAGATGCAGACTCTCAGGTGTTGCCCCGGACTCGTGGATCAGGATCCACATCTTTACAGAACCCTCGGGTGTTCTCATGGACCTTCAGGGAGGAGAAGCCGTGGGATAAAACCTGGCGTGCAACCGTGACCAAGAACAGTCACTTATTGTGGTTCACTTTTTCAAACTATTGACGAAAATCAATTTCTACAACAAATGAGGCTAGCCCACCAATGGCTGGGAATCCTTTGGCTAATATAAGGGATATAATAAAACCAATCAGTGAAACGGTCAGTTTTTGTGCATCAGTAAACCTCTCAAGTTTACAGAGCCTACTTTCCCAGGTCATTACAAAGAAAATAATGTCACAAAAGAGTCTAGGGGCTGCACCTTACCAATGAGCTGACTCCCTCTAATCTAGTGTCCTGTAACCATAGCAACTCAAATTTGCAGACTGAGCACACACACGCACGAAAAAGCAAGCAAACTAACACAAAGGAGTTTTTCCCCTTCTGGTCATGGTTTGTGGTAGCCACAGGTGAGCAAGGTCAAGAAAGGCAAGGATTTGCATCATCACAGAAAAAAGAAACATACGCAGTAACTGTGGAAACTGGACACAAACTTCAGAAATGACCTGCAATTGGCAAAGGCGAAACCACTCTGTTTCAGTCACAGAAACATTAACTATGGGCAAATTCCCCAAAATAGCTGAATTTGTGGAAGACGGTAACACAAATGTTTTACCCAAGCACCATCACACGTTGTGTGGTTTGCAGTGGAATGGTTAAATTACATGTTGTAACAACTGGGTTATTTACATGTGCTCAGTCTAGATTTTCACGTACTCTGAGGATATACTGGCCCTGACTTGAGTCAGCTAATTCCTTAGGTGAAAGTCCCCATCAATTCCTGAAGGTCAGCAGGATGGCATCTCACCAAGTGTCAAGACTGAAGAAATTCAGGTTAACTTCTCAAATATCCAACTGATACCTAAGGAAGATGGAAGGATTGCAATGATCCTGCCCATTTTATGTTTCCTAAGCCAGTCCTCTGTAGATTTCCTACTTAAAGATCAATATACATTTCCATGGTATTTACACAGAGAAAACAAAGCGGGAAAGCTTAAACCACTAACGACGTCCACCCAGGTCCACAGCCATAGATGGCCTCCTCCCTTGGATATTTCCATAGAGTTTCCTGTTTTTCCGTTGGTCTCGGTCTCTCTCGCTTTCAGATCAGATATTGCCTACTCTTTTTTCAGAACAGTTTACACACTGCCTGAAGTTTAATGGATGCCCAAAAGGAGAAAATGACCACTCTGCTAAAAAGAGAGAGAGAGAGAGAGAGAGAGAGAGAGAGAGAGAGAGATACTGAATCACAGCAGGAGGTAAAAACAATTTTAAATATGAGTCTCCATGATGTTTTTATAGCCCAGAATGACATGTTTATCTTTCACCTACTTTTTTTCATTCCACACGAGAGTAGAAAATATTTTCTGAGCTTGATAAATGAAAGCTCATTTGGGGGCAGCTGCTACTTGAATTACTACTCTCAGGGTTAAATTAATAACTATGGCATATTATAAGCACATAAATATAAAGTTGAATTCCATTCTTCCTAGTGTATTTATGTGACTTTTTGCCTCACTTTGTGAGTTGGTCCTGGGTTTCCCTCCTTTCTCTGTAACACATGTCACTGCTAATTATCACCGTGTTATTAGGCACTGACAGAGTGTGCAAATAAAAGCTGACATTGTCTGCACAGCCATTCCTGGCCGTGGCTTTTTGTAAAGCAACCATCTGACTTTCAACTCAAACCTAAAACGAACGCCAAGATGTTTCAAAGTCAAATGTTTGCATTCTACTTTGAGCATCGCACGTTGTTGATAGGACTATCAACCAAAAAACTTGAAGTTTCAAGCTACTGTTTTACGTGACATTAGGGAAGAATAACAGTCCTGAACTTCCCAGTGTTCGACTCTGGGTCTGCAAAGTGAGAACAAGTTTCCCGTCACCAGAACGCAAGAAGAGCCTGAGCCAGCGGCTTGACCAAGCCAGTGTCGTTTTAGTTTGGTGCTAATTCCCTAATTTGCTCTTTTATTTTCTCTAACCACATAGTTAATGCTGAAACAAAGCCTTTTAGGGGTTTGCCACTGAGCACTCTATGTCTTAGGAGAAGGAAAAAGTCTTTAGATACGTATCCAATGGCCATACATGCGCTGAAGGCAAGGACTAGCAAGCTGGAACTACAAACTACGGCAAAACCCACACAATTAAGCTCTGCAACCATCAGGGGCTAAGACAGCGCAGACCACACTAAAACCGTACTAAGATCATAGTAAGAGCGCTAAGGCCACACACACGGAGACCGTGCAAAGCCTGCTAAGACAGCTAGGGTCATGCGAAGACCAGCACAGGTTGGTTTTTCAGACCTACGAATCTGAAGGCGTTTCGGTGCCTTCTATCAGATCATCACGGCATTTTAATCCATCATTCATTACCTCGACTATGTGACACCTTTCCTTCTACTCTAATGGTACGTTTCTGATGGATTCTGATGTGTTTCCCTGCTCGAAACCCGTTTTAACCCTCAGAGACAAGGTGCCTCTGCAAATACAGTCACAACGCATACAGGAACCGAGAGTTCAGACCTTTATGAAGGAAAGTGCTGGAGATAAATGGGGTGTCTGAAAAACACCACGGCTGTAAAAACATAATCCCGTGAGATGGGGCACCTGGGTGGCTCTGTCGGTTAAGCAGCCAACTTAGGCTCAGGTCATGATCTGGCAGTTCATGAGTTCGAGCCCCACGTCGGGCTCTGTGCTGACAGCTCAGAGCCTGGAGCCTGTTTCAGATTCTGTGTCTCCCTCTCTCAGACCCTCCCCCATTCATGCTCTGTCTCTCTCTGTCTCAAAAATAAATAAACGTTAAACAAAAAAAATTAAAATTAGAAATAAATAAATAAATAAAAACATAATCCCATGAGAAAAGATGGCAGAAAAAAACCAAGTGCTATGGGTGCCCATGAATGGTCCCCCAGGAAGGCCCATCACCATGGCTTGGCACTGGTCTTCGTTCACCCCGAAATCGTAACCTCTGATGGTAGAGGACCATGGTCTAAATGCCATGACTTTTCTTTCTGCAAATCATTCATTCATTTGCTTTCCATTCACTGCTTCCTGAGCACCTACTATGTGCCAGTCAGGTTTGAAAGGGCTGAGCATACAGGGGAGAAAGCAAGCTCCCTACCCTCTTGGGGCCCACCCTCCAGGGAAGGAGACAGCCAGCAAACCCACAAACCTATGCAGGATGCCCGTGTGGATGAGCCCAAGGGGACACCGCAGGGCAAAGGGCAGCACAAGGGGTGGGGACGAGGCAAAGCAGGCACTGAGGTGGCCTCTGGACGCAGGGGACTCTGGACCCAGCACAGGGGGAAGGAGAGCCAGAGGGACTCGGGAAGGGGAGGGGAGACAGAGAGGCCAGAGCAGGGTGGGGCCCACTTAGGACCTGTGGTGCCTCCAGTCTTTGGATTTACTGGTTATGCCACATTTACCCGACCTCGGCCAGGTGAATGAAGCCATTAAGTGGTGTTGATGGCAGGTCCCAACAAGGTGCCTCGGGAACGGCCCTTCACCTGTGGGCTTCCTCCCCAAACCCATAAACTACAGTCTAGTCAGGGGAAAGACACGAGACAAACCCAAACCGAGCGACATTCTGCCAGCTCCCTGACCAGCACTCAACTGTCAAGGACGCCAAAACCAAGGACAAGACTGAGGAAGTGCACAGCCACGAGGAACCCAAGACAAGACAACAAAACGTCACGGGAGGATTCTAGACGGAATCCTGGAACGGAGAAAGGACGTGGAAAAGGCGGAACCTGAGGAAACGCACATACAGTCCAGCCCCTGGTCGATAACAGAGCATCGATGCCGGCTTCTCACTGTGCCCCACGGACCACGCGGACGTAAGACATGAACAGGGCAGGAGCACACACAGCACACAGGGACCCTCTGCTGTGTCTCAGCAACTTTTCTGTAAATCTAAAAGTATCCCAAGGTTTTTTTTTAATTTATTTTCTTTAAAAATATACAAAGGTCCTCTGGCTAGGAATAATGGCTCTGGAATATAAAGTACAACAAAAATTGATGATAAATATGCAACAACACCAGAGGCTAATTATTCAGGATTTAACGCCTCTCTGCATATTCCTGCCAAGTGGTTTATCAATCCCATTAGAGGCCTCAAAGCCAGCCCATTCCATCTCTTTATAAGTCTACATGATTAAGGTTTATTTCTCCCACTGATCCTGGCTCTTCCCCTCGGGGCCACAAGTGACCAGAAAATCTCCCTGTTCCACGTCAACAATCCATCCAGTCTCGGGTGAGAAAGCTCTTCAACTCAAGTGTTCCTTTGCCTTGGCTGAGTTCTGAACTTCCCTGCACCAACAATGTGCGTCGCTGCTGTGTCCCTGACGTGTCCGTGGTTGTCACCTCTCCAAGGAGGGGGCCTGGCATCCTCCAGGAAGGAGGTGACAGGTGAGTCTGCCTGCATGATGACCCTGTCGGGTCGCAGATGTCTGAGGAGACGCTCAGGTAGCTGCAGCCACACCTGTCCCCGGGACTTCCTTCACCTTCCCTGGAAGTACAGAGGACCCTGAGGTCTCCACCTGTTCCCTGAGGACCAAGACTGCCTAGAGCCCCAGAACGCAGGCTCGGGCAGGCTCCCATCCTAAGAGGCCCCATCCCCATGGACAGAATCTCCCCTCAGACCTCACTTCTTCCCCCCCGCGGCACCTTCCCAGACTCACACAGGATCTCCATGCACAGATTACTCCATGAAGGGTGCTGACAACTTCCGGGGAGAAAGGCAAGATCGGGCTGCCATAGTAAATGACCTCAGGCCGCTGGAGCATCCAGGTTGTAGGTCCAAAAGAGAAAATGGGGCAAAGACAATGGGCAGGCAGCAAATAAAGGGAGGTGGGTCTCAACCTCATTCTCCCAAACGGCTTTAATTCTCGGATTTCCCAAATGAACAACTTTAAAACTTTTTTTTTTTAATGTTTGTTTATTTCTGAGACAGAGAGAGACAGAGCATGAGTGGGGGAGGGGCAGAGAGAGAGAGGAAGACCCAGAATCCGAAGCAGGCTCCCGGCTCTGAGCTGTCAGCACAGAGTCTGACTCGGGGCTCGAACTCAGCAAACCGTGAGATCATGACCTGAGCCGAAGTCGGTCGCTCGACCCACTAAGCCACCCAGGTGCCCCCTCCAAATGAACAACTTCAACCTGGAAAGTTAAACCACACCTTGGTGGTTCATCGTAACTACGTAATTAATGATATTTGGCAAAAGTGGAATCTAAATTTGGTCTCTAGTAACTCGTCTTAACATAATTCAGCTTCTCCCTTTTATGTTTTGGTTGTAGAGATTCTACACAGTTCTTGAAGGAACAGGTCTTCAGCTGAAATCGAATTTACACAGCCTTCTGTGTAGTTTGGACGGATGCAGTGCCTAACACTATTTAAAACGGCGGCTTCTTGGAGGTAATTTTTTTCTTTTCCAAGCTATTATGCACACGCATATTTTGAGCTTAAGTAAGATAAAGATACAAACAGTTTTACAAGATAAAGCAATTAGTAAGCAATAAAGGTGATTTGATTTATAGAGCTAATACAAGAATGTTTAAAATCTATTATAAGCTGAAGAAATCTGTTCTTTATTTAGATAAAATGGGAATTAACTCTTCCACTCAAGAGGAAAATGAAATTGAAAAATAAAACATACGTAAGGGAACTGTGTAATCGCCAAACTGAGCCCCCACAAAGGACAATTACGATTTGAGTAGAAGAAGTAAATGTATTTTAAATGTCTAAATGTCACCTCCTTTTGCAGAACCTTATCTTGTCACAGTCCCGTCAGAGATAGAGGCTCCCTTACTATCAGCTCTCGTAAAAGAAGGTGGTTTCATTTTCTAAAATGACCAACTTAATCATGCTCACGAATCCCATAGAAATGCAGGAACTGTACACGTTTCTAGAGGGAGAAACCATCAGAGCATATTTTTCAAATCTTAGCTCTGAGTGGAAGCATTCTGTACCATGTAAAATTGTTTACAAAACCTCAGAAATCAAAGCCATTAAGCACAATCTAAGTGCCTAAATTATTACACAAATGTATAAAAGGGTACAAGCAGGGCCCAAAGGGAAGGCGGCATAGCTCTGTTCCTGCGGGGAGTTATCACTGATCTGTCATCATTTCTGCATCGAACCACCTGCTGGTGGACCCTCCTGTTGATCTGGAAGAAGCGGCTGCCGGGCAAACTGAAATCAGAAATGATTATTAAGCACTCAAAAGCTTAACTCTCCATTCTCGGTCCAAAGCGAGTAACTCAGGG